GTTAAAATTTCATTGTTATCTAAAGATAATAGAAATTTTGAAGATAATAGTAGTGTAACATCATGATAAGTAGTTATTAGTATTGGTGTTTTGGGATTACTGTTTAGATGGTGATTGATATTGATGTCGAAGTTGAGCAAGTATGGTGTTTCGTTATGTAAGTTAGTAACCTACCGGTTGTAGATAAAGTTTAATGTATAGCTGTGGAAATATCTAAAACAAACAAGTAAGATTAGATTGTATGCTTAAATAGATAGTGAGTCGTACAGTAGAAGACGAAAAGATAATATAATGTAACAAGACTAACTACAATATAAATTTTTATTTTAGATACACTAGATGAGAACAGGAAGGAATAAATGAGTTTTGTGGGTTGTTTGGTACTCGGTTAATGATATCTTTCGAAACATGAAACTGTGAACGGAGAAGAAGATGAAGTTGATTGAGTTAGAAGAATTCATTATTATCGATGGTGGTTACGAATTTCATTATTTGCTGAGTACGTTGATGCAGATTCGTTTGGCGTGCGTTGATAATAGTACGCAGGACGTCATTGAATATTTCCATAGAACATGATACGGGACATTCTTGATAAATAGTTTCATCAAAAGTAATTCCATTTATATGTTGTTTCTTTTTTTGACGTAGAAGCTTTTTCTGTGATTTTACATATGTTCGACATATATTTTGAAAACTGACAATCTAGAATCAGAAAAATATTAGAAGAAGTAGGAGAACAATACAGTATAACAATGATTGATGATGTTGACTAACCTGTTCTAGAGTTGGATTTAAATCAAAGAATGATTTTACGAGATATGCATCTTGAATATCAAAATATAATAGGATTTCTTTTTGTTCAAAATTGAGATGAAAATAATGAAGACTTTTTTCTAAAATAATAGCAAGAGCACTATAAATGATTTTTGATAAATCATCCAGAGACATGACATTGCATATTCGTTCATTCAATGGAAATGCTTGTTCAAAATGAACATATAAATTAAATATTGCTTTTTGTAATTTATTGTTAATCTTATTTTGTTGACGTTGAATATATGTTATTGTTTTTGTATGATCCCAATTGATGAAATTTTGTTTTATAATAACTTTGGACGTTTTCAACGATAACCATGTTATGGTAGGCATATTTAGAGTGCCAATATAATTCCAATAATCTTGTTCAATTTTTAATTGAAAAACCATACATAAGAGTTCAGCACGTTTTTTTATGAATTGAAGTGTTGCTATATTGTTTAGTAATTGATTGAGTTCATTACGATATTCATTAGAAATGGCCTTTAGTAGTATCTGTTTGAATTTAAATGGAGATAATTGTTTATAATTAGGTAAAAGTTTTGATGTTTGTTCCCAATGATCTGTTGACATATTGTATCGTTTAAGTTTCTTTCGATATGTTCGAATTGGATATGATGATCTCGATTCTTCTATTAAATTTCGTGGTGATAAAATAAATTGATCCACAAGCAGATTATTTTTATTTAAATCTAGATATTTACGTTTATTGTTTAATCTACGTTTGCT